AGGCTTTTGTATATTCTTATCAGAGTCTACATGGGAGCTCTGGTGGCTTAGTGGTAAGGAGTTGGGCTGCCAACTCAGACACTTGGTTTGACTCCGCCAGCTGCTACATGGGAGAAAGGTGAGGAGTCTCCTCCTATGTGATTTGCTGCTTCTGAAAGTGCACTTGCGGGTCAGCTATGAGTCAGTTCTGACTGCAGTACATGACAACGATCAGAGTCTAAAGCTAGAAAAAGACCTAAAAAAGTTTTTCTTCCAAGTCAAAGTAGGAAAACAAATTTGCTGTTATCTTTTGGTAATATTTTATAGAAGAAGCATAAGAAGAATAGGCTAAATAGGAGTTTAAGCTTTCTATTTCAAACACTAAGAGGGGGGTGTGTGTGTAAGCACATAGACACACATAGATAGAAACAGTTCCGTCTTGGATGAAGCAAAGATAGTGAGACTTTGTCTCTCATAGTTTGGGCAGGAGTTCAGTCCCTGGAGAAGAACAACATGCTTGGAAAGATAAGAGAGTCAGAGGAGGAGAGGAAGAGAGGAAGACCCTGGTGAGTGAGATGGGTTGACGCCGTGATGCAGTCGTGTGCTTAAGCAGAAGAGAGATTTATGTGGGTGGCACATTTGAGCTGGGGTTTTGTTCTGCTGTACATGTTGTTAGATACTGTCAACTATGACTCACAGTGACCTTATGAACTACAGATTTAAACCCTATTCTATTCCTATCCTGTTGCATCCTTATCATCTCTGGTATACTTGAGCATATTGCTGCAGTCACTTTGCCAATCTGCCTTGCTGAGTCTTCCTCTCTTCTGCTGAACTTTCCAGCCATGATTGTCTCTTTCAACAGAATTTTAGCTATTACCTAGAGAACTCTGGTAGTTCAATAACTAAAGTACCTACTTGCTAACCAGAAGGACACCACAGAAGTGGTTTTTAGTGGATTAATTTTTTTAATAATGATTTATTTACAAAGTTCGAATACATTGTCTTTCACACAAGATCCTTCCCATTTCCATCACTGCCCCCATTGAATTGTGCCACCCTATGATTAACAGCCCACCCCACTCAATCCATCTTCACTGCTCTGCTTCCACCGTCCTCCCCCTCTTGGATCCTCCTACTCATTCTGCAATAATGATTTTATACAATATTTGTCCTTGTGGGACTGAGTTAGTTCATTCAGCATAATGTTGTCCAGTCCCTCCCACGTTGGGTAGTAATTTACAAAATCATTGTTCCTTCGTGCTGCATAGTATTCATTCCATTGTGTGAATGTACTACAATTCTCAATCCATTCGTTTGTGATTGGACATCTGGGCTGTTGCCATGTTCTTGAGGTGGTGAATAATGCTGCTATGAATATTGGTGTACACGTCTCCAGAGGTTTGTGCCTCAGTTCTCATTTTCTTAGGGTATATTCCAAGCAATGAAATAGCTGGATCATACAGAATATCTATGTTCAGCTTTTTGAAGAAGATTTTTTTTCTAAACTACCTTCCAGAGTGGTTATACCATTTTACAATTTCAGTGTATCAGAGTTCCTATCTTGCCATATCCTCTCCAACATTTATTACTTGCTGTCCTGTTAAACTTTGCCACTGCTACTGGAGTGAAATGGTATCTCATTGTGGTTTTTAGTAGGAATGGGTACTCTTTTTTGTTTTTAGTTTGCATTCAATAATTCATATACATTGTATTTTATATAATTAGTTACTATTGACCTAAGCCATTATCATCCTGTTTTTTTCATCTTCATTGAATTGTTACTATTCCTTCATTTCCCTCTGCCCACTAACCTCTGCTATCCTAGTGATTTTCTTCTCTTCCCCTTTTTCTGTCCTCTTTGCTCCTTTTGAATATTTATACATATCTTGCTCAATTATCCCTCAATTTTCACAAGTCTTACGCAGTATTTGTCCTTATGTAACTGGGTTATTTCATTCCTATAATGCTCTCTAGACACTCCCATGTTATATATAGTATTTTACTAAATTCTTATTCCTTTGTGCTGCCTAGTATTCCATTGCTTGATTGTACTATAGTTTCTCAATCCATTCTTTTGTTGATGGCATTTAGTCTGAATCCATTTTCTTGCTATGGTGAATAATGCTGCTGTGAACATATGTATAAATGTGTCCATTTGTATCTTTGTTCTGGTTTTCTTGGAATATATTCCTAGCAGTGGAATAGCTGGTTTATATGAAATGCCTATGTTCATCTTTTCAAGGAAACACCAAACTGCTTTCCATAGAGATTGTATTATTTTACAATCCCATCAGCAGTGCATGAGACTTCCAATCTCCCCACGTACACTCCTATATTTATTATTTGTTGTGTTGTATCTGACTTGCCTTTGAATAACTCAGCTCAATAGAGAAGAACTTCTGAAACCCTTGGGAAAATTCTGGTGAATGTCTAACTACTTTAGAGGTTTTACAATTCGTTACATGTTCATCACTCTGGGCCAGTGCTCATTTTCATTCCCCCAAATGGAGTACCAGTCAAAGCAGGCCATCACAATCAGGGCGGTGTGCAGCTGAGTAAACAGTCAAGAGTATTTTGTTCTGCTAAGTATTGTCTGTGACCTACACACCCCATAGTTCAGAGTTTCAGGTTACTCTTTAAATTTGTTAACATTTTATTTCCCCTGTATCCTAGGACAGTGCCTTGCACATCATGTGCATTCCAGAAAAAAAAGGGGGGGGGAATTGAAAGTATCAAAGAGTGAAAGAGGATTGAATGTCCTGAATTTCCTACCTTAAATTTTTGGCTTCTAAGATTACTACAAAAATCTTTTCAGTGACATTGTAGGAAGAGCAGGATAAGTAGATTAATGCTCAACTCTGAGCATTTACGTACTGGCTGATGGTGTTATGTGCAAGTGCCAAATGAGAAAAGTGATGATGAGGGAAGGAAAGTTAAAGATAATTTTATCTGTTTCATCTGAAATGTGAACAAACCCATCTATTTTATACAGTGATGACAAAAGTGAGATTTGGAGTTTTCCCCCACCGTCACTTTTGCACATTGTCTTCTTTAGGAAACTAAAATGCAATTTGAATTTCCCCTTGTGTTGAATCAGAAGACTTCTGAATCCCCCTCCAGTGGATTAGGGAGTCGCAATGTAGATTTTGCCAAATTGGTATATTATCATCTATCTTTAGGTTCCCACATGTGACTTTTAAGATTTTTTTTTGTTGAGTTTTGGTTGTGTCGCTCCCCTTTCTAGTCTAAGTTTTGTTTGTTTTGCTTTTGCTACATTTGGGGTATTTGGATAATTGCTTCTCTGAGGTTTATCAGAAGAGTAATTTTAAGAATAACTAGTGTAAACAGATTTAGAACTTGGCACCCCAGGGGAAACTCAGCGCATTGTATTGGAGGATGCCATTCCCAGAGAATTACCTTTAGTATTTGTCTACAAATATTTATGACTAAATTTGAAATAATTGGTTGGAAAAGACTTGAGGAGAATGGTTACATGCTAGTAAAACTGTATAGTCTTGCCATGTTCTTAATTTTTACATAGATATTTTATTAGGGTTGTTGTTGTGTGCCATCAAGTTGCTGTAGAAATGTGAAATTATTGATATTGGCCTGGTTTTGACTTATGAAAACTAGCAATTTCTTGCCATCCAATAAAATATACTTAAGACCCTAATTTATGGTAATGTCCTCTGCCTAAATTTGGTTCTTCACAGTCATAAAAATCACAAGAGGAATGTCAGGAGGTCATAGATTTTTTTTTAAAAAATTCTTTCATTGTTATATAGTCTCCCCCCCTAGGCCCTCCCCCCAGTCCACTCCACTATGCAGGTTTCATTCTGGACTCTTGTCATGAGGTCATAAGATTTTATATGCCTGAGTAATTCAGAACAAGCCAATCATCAAAATAATCCACTGGTGAGAAAAAAAAAATCACACTATTTCTTGCTACCAAAATGAAATTCTCTAACTTGGAAGCTGTGGAGGGAAGTTTGGTTTATCTAAAGTAATTTTATAAAAAAAAAAATGCAGAGTCAAACATTCTCTCTTTTTCCCCCCTGTAAACAGGAACAAGAAGAGTATGGTGGAATAATATGGAAACACCAGATATCCCCACAAAGGAAGCTGCAAAGGAAACTTCGTGATTGATAAATGAAGAAGGTCATCAAATGATTACAGTACTTGTTTTTCCTAACACCCCCATGGCGATTGAGTTATGAATTGCTGCTTCTCTGCTCAGGTGATAAATGTGAATGCAGACATGCAGAAGCTGCACATGCCAGAACATGCGGATAAAGGCTGTCCAGCTGACCTGTCATAATCATAACCTTTCATAACCATAATCACAAATGGGATCCACAAGATTCCCCCCTTGGATGACTCTACAGAAAGATAAAGAAAAATCAGTGTTCTAAAGTTGTGCTCTACTCTATCTTCGATTTGCTAATTCTGTGGGGCTGAAGAAAATGGGATGGAATGAAGAGTGAATGAAGTAATAAAGTGGGTAAATACTGACAAGAAAGGACATGCCCTGGTTTGTTATCTCGATAACTGAATTCTGCTGAGGAAGTACTGTAAATAAAATACCCGTGGAAGCACCAGGACTTTCCTGTACATATAATTAAACCAATATCACAATGGCATAGAGGCTAATTCATGAAGACTTTCTTAGACATGTCTACTAGCCTTATAAGCATTAAAGTTTATTACGGTTCAAAAGTTTAGTACAGAGGGCAGGGAGAGTTTGACACACCTCTTTTCGCAGAAGTGTTGAAAGGGCAAAAGGGGAATCCGCCTGTGATAGAAAACAAAACACACAAAAACACCACCACACCCCAACCCCAAACCACACCATCAAACTAGTGTGGAAACAGAAGTGAAATCTGATCACGTGCCAGGGAAAAAAAAAGTGTGAAGAGACCCTAGAGTAACGATTAACCTGGACCAGCCCAACTCAGGGCCATTATGTACAGCTGCTGAGCAGGTAGTGGGTGTGAGGACGACAGCTGAGTAAATCCCCTACCATGGAGAACTCAGTGGTTCCTTGCGTCCTTTACCCAGGTGACAACAATGCCAGCGGGTCAAAGCCCGGGGGTGCCTTTGCTAATGGAATGTGCAGAGAGACTGGGGGCCAGGTAGACACTCTGGAGACTTCTGGAGAGGGCAGCCTACTGCAACCCGATACAGACGAGGAGGATCAGGGTACCGGGATCAACGGGCAAGAAGGCACCGAGTCCCTAGCACAAACACCCTGCAGTTTCAGCTCTTCCCTGTGTTTCAGCTCCGGGGACGACTCTCCACCGCAGTCTTGTGCAACGGCGTCTTCCGCGGCGGAGGACCCGGCAGCCTCTCCTTCCTCTCTCAGCGGAAGCCGGGTGGTGAAGAGTCAGTGGGAACTCTACAGTTCCAGTGCCACGTCCGAAGAGCCCGCGCAGGAGACGGCGGCGGCGCCCCGGGGGCCCGGGG